GCTTGTCTTCTCTTTCAGACATAGCGTTCAGGTGGCTGAGACCAGTGTTGCATCTGTATACTTTATACTAATGTCTATCCTCATGTACTGCTGCATTTTAAAAAATGAGGATATGCTGAGAGGGAAAAACTGATTTTTTTTTTTTTCTTGTGGACGAACAATTTCTATTGGATTTTTTAGGAGCAAATGCAGTATTTGTCAGAGTTGTCATTCACTTAACAAGAGAAAAAATATTTATTCTTTTAGAGAAAGTTCAAAACACTATTTTCCTGCTGATAGATACTACAAGCTGTGTACCACCATGAGTAAAAAGTTACTCTATTGCAGCTGAACTGGAAGAGGGACACATCTGGTGCACAGTCTTGCAAACTGTCATATGTATAAGTAGTCTTACTGATTTCTGATAATGACACTAATATAATTGTTCAAAAAGCAATATTACCTAAGATTTTAAAGTTTAAAATCCTTATGTGAAAGCTCCTTACTTTCTCCTTAAATACTGCATGGAGTGACATGGATCTGATTCAAATGAAAAATGTGCTGTTCCAAACAGGACAACTGCTTTCTCTCTTCCTTACTTTATGTCTCTGAGCCTCCACAGGTGCATTTAAAAAATTAAATCTCTCAGTAGCAGCAGATAAAGTGAAACCTTTTCTATTAACAAAATTTCCATGAAAGTTGAGATTCTCTGGATGTATGTGTTGTGAATAAATATAGGTATTCACAAATTTCATTTTATCATGTATATTACTCAGGGGTTGTCTCTTGGCTTCCTTCAGGGATCCCTTGCTGCAATCTGAAATATAGCTGGGCAAAATCTGAAATTCCAGCTAAGAAAAGTCCACCAGTGACTTCCCCAACCTTGATTTCCATAACAGTGTCATAGAATGGTTTTGTTTGCAAGAGACCTTTAAAGATCATTTTGTCCAACCCATCTGCTATGGGCAGGGACAGGCTCACCATGATCATGTTGCTCAGAGCCGTGTCCAACCTGACCTTGAACACTTCCAATGATGGGGCATCCCCAGGTTCTCTGACAAACCAGTGTCTTACCACCTTCATCACAAAAAAATTTCATCCTCGTATCTAGTCTAAATCTGCACTCTTAAAATTTAAAACCATTACCTCTTCTTGTATAGCAACAGGATCTGCTAAAAAGTCTGTCCTCAGTACTGGAAGGCTGCTATGAGTTCTCCACAGAGCCTTCTCCTCTCTAGGCTGAACAATCCCAACTCTCTCAGCCTTTCCTCATAGGAGAGGTGCTCCACTCCTCTGATTATTTTTGTGGCCCTCCTCTGGACCCGCTACAACAAGTCCATGTCTTTCCTGTACTGAGGACTCCAGAGCTGGATATAATACTCCTGGTGGAGTCTCAACAGAATAGAGTAGAGGAAGGCAAATCACCTGCTGAACACACTGTTTCTTTGATGCAGCCCAAGGAAAAGTTGACTTTCTTTCTTCTGAGTAGACATAACCACCTCATAGCTAATTTTTCATCCACCAATATGTCTCCAAGTCCATCTCCACAGGTCTGATCTCAATCTATTTCTCACACAGGCTGTATTGATACTGGTAATTAACCTGACCTATGTGCAGAACATTGCACTTGGTCTTTCTGAACTTTATGAAGTTCGTGGGAGCCCACCTCTCACATCTGTCAAGGTCTCTCTGGGTGGCATCCAATCCCATCCATTCCCTCCTGGGTGGAAATCACAGCACACAGTTTGGTGCTGCCCAATACCAACCCCAAGGGACACCATTCATTACCGATCTCTATTTGAGTAGTATCCAAATATAGATTAACAGTGGCAGGGAAAATTCCTGGCCAATGGGACTCTTAGTTGACTATCCTGACTATCCTAACAGTTCTTGGTGTGTCTTTGACTAATCAAACTAGCACTTTTCCAAATAACTCCCAGGTATGGAAATACCTAGAAATTAGCAATGAGCAAACTCTTCAGGAGGCATTTGTTATTGTTCTAGTTGGCCTCCGTGCTGGGCAGTGACTTGAGCGTGTTTCATTTATTGCTACTTTTGTGGACTACACATATCTATTTGACTCAAATTCTCAAAGATTTTCTCTTGTGATAAAGGTAGTTGATTTCCTTCAAAATATTCTAGTGAGCAGATCTGAACACATAGACTCAAGAAAGCAGTAACTTTGATCAAGAACAATGTCTGAATAGACTTCTATGAATCTTCAGAAGCAATTAATTAAATTTTTTCAAAGGATATTTTAAAAATGATTCTCCCTCCAGCTCATACAATAGATCTGTTTAGTTTAGTTTCATGCCAAAGCAATGACACCAGCACCATGCCTTCCAAGCTCTACTGCAGAATTTGGTGGGTAACTGTTTTGCCAGTTGAATTTACCAAATATTTACTGTATTTTTAGAAGCTGTTGCTCAGATTAGACTGACTAGATTTATCTGGATGTACATATGACTCTGAGTCAGAACAGTTCTAGGAAGAAAATGTTTAACATAAACATTTTTAATTTCCTTTTAACAGGCAGATTCTGTTTCTACTAATAAGCAACATATCTCTTTGTTTCATAAGCATATAGTAATTATGTTAACCATGGTTACAGGATTTTCCAGTGGCACTGTAAGTGTCTAATAACTTATTGTAGAATGATAAAAAAAGATTCTTTATCTAGGTTTAAATTTTTGACCTACTAATTCCCATTTAAATTACTAAGTTATTTATAAAATTTCCATTCTTTCTAATTGCATGCACTATTTTATAGAGGCATTTGCAGTAGCATTTTGTTTGATTATTCTTTGTCAATGCAGTACAAAGTCTGTCTTGGTAAAGGAGAGGAAATAGGTAATCATCTTTATAAATTACCTCCATGTCAGGAAAAGACTTTAGTTTTGTGTCATCAGGATAGTCAAAATAAGAGAAAGTAAAGACAAGTATGACAACTTTCTACCCTTTTCCAGACTGAGTTTATTTGTTTTTCTCCATTCAAAGTGGTCTCAAAAGGCAGGAACTTCATGAAGCTTAGCAAAGGAAATGCAAATTTCCATATATGGAATGCAATAACCCCTCGTGAAAGTAAAGGGTTGGAGCTGACTGATTAGAAAACAGCTTTGCATAAAAGGATCTGGTGGTCCTGGTAGGCAAGAAATTGAATATGAATCCACAGTGTAATCTTGCTGCAGTGAAGGCTAACTACTTGATCTCATTCAGAAAAAGCATTGGGGTGCACAGCAAAAGGAAGACAGATGACAGAAGAAAGTTAAAGCAAAGGAAAATTTAATTCTACCTAATTTTCATAATAAGGGTGGTCAAATGGTGGACCAAATTGCCCAGAGAAACTGTGGAAACTCCATTCCTGGAAATATACATTCACAATTACACTGAACAAAGTTCTAGGCAACCTACTCTATCTGGGAATTAGATCAGGTTAGATCTAATTAATCTCTAAATGCTCTTAGCAGGTGTTTGGACCTCATTCCTTCTGAAGAGCTTTAAAGATCTATGAAGATCTTTATCTTCAGCAGTGACAGTGGCATCAAGTACAGCCTCAGCAAGTTTGCAAATGACACCAAGGTGAATGGTGCAGTTGACACACCTGAAGAATGGGCTGCCATCCAAAGGGACTTGGGCAAACTTAAGAAGTGGGCCCACAGGAATCTCATGAGGTTCAAAAAGGCCAAGTGCAAAATTCCGTCCTGGGTTGGGGCAACCTCCAGTATCCATACAGGCTGGGGTATGAATGAATGGAGATTGGTCCTAGGGTGCTGGCAGATGAAAAGCTGGATATGAGAGAGAGACAATTGTATCCTGGACTGCATCTAAAGAAGTTGCCAGCAGGTTGCTGGAGCTGATTCTTCCTCTCTACTCTGCTCTACCTGGAGCACCATATTCAGCTCTGAAGTTGTCGTGACAAAGATGAAGACCTGTTTTAGTAGGTCCCGGGGAGAGCCACAAATATGATCAGAAGGCTGGAGCATCTCTCTTATGAGGAAAGGCTGAGACGGAGTTTTTAAACCTGGAGAAAAGAAGGCTTTAGAGAGACCTTTTTGGTGGCCTTTTAGTACTTAAAAGAGGCTTTTAAGAAAGATGAGGACAAACATTTTAACAGGTTGAAGTATGACAAGGTGTTTTGAACTTGGAGAGGGCAGACTTAGATTAATATAAAGAAGAAATTTTTTACCTTGAGAGTGGTGAAACACTGGTACAGACTGCCCAGAGAGGTGGTGGATGCCCCATCCCTAAAAACAGTCAAGGTCAGGTGGAATGGGGCTCTGAGCAATCTGATCCAGTTGTAGATGTCCCTGTTATTGCAGAAGGGTTGGACTAGATGACCTTTAAAGGTCCCTTCCAACCCAAACAAGTCTACGAACCTATGCATCTGTGAATCTGTGATTCGGTAATAAATGTAGACTATTCTAAGATTATTGTTTCCTAGACTTCAGAATTATTTCTATTTTAGCAAAACAGTCACCTCAGCTTTTTCCAAAGGCTGAATGACCCTAGATTTTCCCCTGAAGTAATATTACTGTTTAATTTATTTTTCTCTTCTCAGGAAGAGGTAGTACTAATCCTCTGCTTGGGGACACTAATGTTGATTTAATGGTACAACTAAGAAAAAAAATAAGCAGGGTAAAAAGTTTCAAGTCAGAGCGATGTGACAAACATTCCAGGTATTCGGGACAGCATTCTGGGACTTTGTTCTTTGCTAAGGTAGAGCAATAATAATTGAGCAACAGTACTGTTAAAATTAGCGTGTAAGAATAGTTGAGCAAATCCTTTTTCTCATTCCTGCAGTTTAGGGTGACATACACAACAAATTATCAAATGCACATACTGAGTGAATGCCTCATATCTATGCTGCCTTAGAATTGAAATAAAGCTCTTCAGATCCTTACAGGAGGGATTTAAAAAAAAATTAAATAAATGGAATGGTACTTTTAAAGAAATGGAACACAGAAATGTTAGATCATGATGTCAGGGGAAAAGCTTCAAATTTTTAAATTGAGTTTACTCACTTAGCTTCTTCTTTCCCATCTTTGAGTTGCTGGTTTTCCTGTTGAGTTGTCTTAGTTGGTTCAGTTGAGTTTTCAGTTTTTGAAGGCTCTGGTGCTTTTGTTGTTTCTGTAGCTAGAAAAAAGGTTTTACTTTTTTGAATAAAAATTTTTAAAGAATTATAATAATACTTTTAAAGGAATCACATTTTGTCCAGCATTTCTGCAGTGAACAAGCACTACATGATACTGCTTGGGGGACTTGACCTCTTAACAATTTCCTGCATAAATCTATTTCAAAACCAGCTGTACAGAACATGTTTATGATAAATACACCTTTTAGAATATGTAATTTACTTGTGGTTTTTAAATTAGGTGCATCAGTACCCAGCTCAACAATGGTCAATACAGAGCTCTTCTATATTTATGAGGGACAGGAACTCCTGAGGTATGATAAATTTTAGCATGTGCTTATTTATAAAAATTGTAGAGGACAGATGGATAGACCTGTCCAGAAATGTCTTGTGAAATACAGCAAGAAAATGAAGAGTAGCTTTTGCTTATGCATAGAAATGCTAATAACATTATTTATACTGCAGGGTTTGAACTGCATTAAAAATGTTTTTGCTTCAGCTGCCATGACAGTCCCGTTTGTTGCTGAGTAAATTATGATAGGAATATATCATTAAGCATGTGAGCATGTCATACTTGGGCTGGTCTTTTTCTTCATTTCTGTTACTATTAAGTTTTTTAAAGGAGTCACAAGTAGGAAGCTTATAGAGTTTAAAACAACTGATATAGTCTCTTGCCATTTAAGTGGCCTTAAGTGATCTTTTTTTTACAGTTGATCCTATATCTTCATTTTAAATTTTTATATTGAAAAATAATTTGATAGCTCTCATCAGTCTGACACTTTGTATAAAGGAGGGACAAGCTCAGCCTTCATAAATACTTTCATTACATGATTATAGAGGAAAAAGCTTGACAGCAAAGCGTCTCAGCAAATAAATCAGGAGCCTGTTATGTATTCTGTATTTTAAGTTCAAGACATCTCAAAGAAAATCAAACCTTGACTATTTTGGGCGGACAGTGTAAGATTACTCTTCTGATAGTTAAGCTCCATATTTAGAGAGCTATTCATTTCAGAGAAGTAAAGGCAATTGCAACACTAAACTGTCAAGCTACTTAGCTGGAAGGTGGTTGCTTGAAATTGCATTGAAACAAAACTTTGTGAAGGACTGTGGGCCAGTTTGTTTATAGCACTTGATATACCAAACTACCCTCCTAATTCGGATTTGGGATCATATGTTCTTTCAGGCATCTATTAAGAACAGAAACTATGTTTCTTGAGCTGAGTTTCAGATTTCTACCACAAAGACAATTGATTACAGGACCAATGGGGCATTTCTAGATTTATTTTCTTAGTATTTAGGTTAAGAAGCAAGAACATCATGTGTGAGCCCTGCTACTCTTACAGGAATTCATTTTTTTAACAGGACCAAAGGCAAGATCTAGACAGAAGAGTCTGTGGATGCTGGAAATGCTCAGCCCACAGACCAACATGCAACTGAAGTGAGAAAAAGAAATCCATGTTCCCCAATAAGCTGGTTAACTGGGTTTTGACTTAGCAAGTTAGGAGTTAATTTTCATGTAGTCCCTTGGAGAAATGTAGCACTTCTGAGTATGAGGAGATAGTTTGCAGGATTTGTATCACTTAGGACCTGTGAACTGGAAAGATGTTTTTGAGGAATTTCATTTAAAACTCTGACACGCAATTGAATTTTATGGCTTGAAATGCAGATTATTGTTTCCTTTCTGCAGCAGTCAGTATTGCAGTAGTATCTTGCGGAAAAGTCTGTTAAAATACGTCAGTAGGGAATGTTTCATGAATGTTACCTGAAGGATCTGCCAGTGAATTTTCAAGATACAGAATAGCATGCATTCAGGGAAATGAAGACTGCAATGAGGACTGTTACTGTTGCTATCCACCGGAATTTTAAAGAAAACATGAAAGAGTTTCTACAATTTGATTTAAGGGGTTCAAAATTCTTTTGTGGGAGATCCAACCAAAAAGATTGGTGGTGGGTTGTTTTTTTTTTTGTTTTGTTTTGTTTTTTGTTTTTTGTTTTTTTTTTGGAAGGAGGAATTTTGAAGTGGGTTCAGGCTTCTAACACAGTGAATACATTCTCACAGTGAAATAAAATTTATTTCTCCTAGGCATTTCATGGCATCCTATGTAAGAAAATCAGAGAAGCTGTAGTTACAGAAAATAAAGGGGGATTGGACCTATTTATAACTGATTAATTTGTGAGTCTTGCTACTGAACCCTAACCTGTTAAATTTCTATTTAACCCTTTCAGGGGATCTCTACAAATCATGCTACTTACTGTGCTCTCCTTGGCACACAATCCTTCTGTGATTTTGGGATCAGTATGAGATGATGTAGAAAAGAAAATGAGAACCAAAGATTTCAGCATTTGCTGCAGTTTCCGGTCCTTTCTAAATTCATGGCTTCCAGTTCTTCCTGCCCTGACTCCGCCAGCCAAAAAGCCATGTACTCAATCAAGAGTGAAAGCAAGGCAAATCTCAACATTTCTGTACTCGTCTCACTTTTGGGAATTTTCTTTATTATAGTAGTTGCTTCTAGTTGCATCTATACTAGTATAGAATACAACCTGATATGAATAATCAGAACAGTGAAATGGTGCTGAAGCATGGCATCCAATTTGTGTCTGTTAGATATAAACATCTGGCATATCTGGCAGATGTATTTCAAATGAGGTCTATTGTTATCCTCTGAAATTAATGACAATCAGCAGTTTGAGTAAAGTAGTTTGACTCATGGAGTGTTTCCTCTGGTTTAGTTTTACTCTAAAGGAATCCACTTCCTAGAGGTTTTTTGGTGGAAAAAGCAGAGCAAAGCAGGGTATAATCAGATTTTTTCAGAAGGGTATTCTTCATTTAAAATAAAATGCCAGTGTAGACATATTATTCAGTGTAATAGACTCCTGAATAAGACAATTCCCTGGAATGACAACATGTATGAGAAGCAAAGACCTCAAAGTAAGAAATATATGGTGCTTGCACACAAAAATTCCATTGCAGAAGGGTTACAGCTTCTCAGCCTGCTAGATATTCTCAAGTAATTCAGTCTGATGTCTGAAGCCACACTGGCCATTAAATGCTGACTGGACTCAGACTGATGGAAAACCTTGTAATCCCATGAATATTCCAAACTTTTACATACAAAAGTTAATAAATTTCTAGGACCAGCACAAGGTTTATTTCTATTAAGATTAGAATAGCGTGGTCTAACACCACTGCCAGTGTGCCAACTTTTAATTGTCTCTTTCTATGTGAAATTGTGAGGAATACCTGCATAATCACATTTTAAAAAAAACCAGTTGCCTCTTCATGGTTTAAATCTAGCTTGTAGCCCTTCGACTTATGAGACCAGGCCCAAGAGAATACCTTTAAGAACAGCATGGTAGTCAGTTTAGGGAAAATTTAGCCTACAACAATTAAGTTTCCAGAACAGATAATGATCCAGCAGCCAGATGGTAGGCTTACAGGACAACAAAGAAATCTTCTGTTTGCTCTGCATAACTTTGGTCATTGTAAAGAAATCATGAGTGTGGAAAAAGAGGTAGAATCATGCCAAGGCGCCACTGGTGTCTACACAGCTCACTGGTGTCTACATGTTCTAGATATTTGGACTGCCCATAAGAATAATATATTTTAAAACTGAATTGGGTAAATGTTGATGGTTCTGTTTTAAAATGGAAAGTGACAGTTGTGGAAGTGTTACTTTGTGGGCAAAACAATGCTAAATGGAATTCCTCAAAAAGATATCTGATTAAATTTAGAGGCCCACTGAAACCTTGTCATACCAGTGACCTGTCTAGGACAGCAAGGAATAAGGAACAAGACACAAGTCATGAGACCTATTTGTTTAGCTTTTTTAGTCTTTCAGATTTTTCACAGGTTTTACCTCTTCCAGGAAAGAATTAGACCAGGAAAAAAATCTTGTTCTTTGACCATGAATACTGTAATGGTTCTTCCAGCAATAGAGCATAAGATTTTTATTTTCTGTCATAGTAAGTAGTTAGCAAAAAGAAGGGCTGATTAATTCATCATTTCTTCTACTTCCAAGTCCTATTTCTGCTGCTCCTGATGTTATTCAAAAGTCTTGGAATTTTAAAGGGTAATTACCACCATCTTGACTCCAAAGGTCAGTGTGGAGACTGAAGTGCTGAGATACCAACCTGTTTTTCAGAGCAAGAGAAGAGATTGCCTGAGCAAGCAGCTCTGAACAGCAGTAGGATGCGTAGGGATAGAAGAAAAAGCACTTTGCACTGTGAAGACCAAGAGTCCTACTTGTAATTCAGCATCAGTGTCCATGCCTGTGGAGCAGTCACACAATCTAAAGGGACTTTCTTCCAGAAAAGTAATAAAACTCATAGATCTCTCAGTCACTAGACTGGCTTTAAAATTTCTATTTCTTGGATCACTTATGTCCAGCACACATTTCACAGCCATAATAACTGGACTGTATCACCAGAAATGTATTCACTTTATTGCAAATAAAAAAGGAGAAAAGCAAAATGTCAATAAAAAATTAGTTTTGAGCTATAAAGATATGAGTAAGTGTCTGCAGAAAGTAGCCATTTGAGTCCAGAACAGAAAAAGTTCTTCCCTTCAGGAAGGGAAGAATTTCTTCTCCGGAATTCCCAGTCAGCTCCATTGCCTTGTACTAACAGTCTGACCATAATCTTATCTATGCTTCCCCTCACATCTGTAGTGGTTGGGTATATGTGAAGGTTGAGCTTGTCATGGCTAGCAATTACTTATAAAAAGTAGAGTTCCCTGAGCTGCTGCTTTGCCTGTTCAAAAGCACATTTTACACAACCCGATCATTGGGTGACGTAATCTCACTTCATTTTGAATCCACAAAATATTGTTTTACAGAATGATTTACAAAACCTTGACTCACTTGTATGTTTTGGTTTTTGGTTTTTTGTTTGTTTGTTTGTGGTTTTTTTCTTTTGTGGAAGCTGTATTTCAATCAGAACACTCCAGTATAATGTCTATGTCATATTAATTAAATATATGGTCAAATACTTTCTTTTATTGCTA